CGGCTGAACGCGGCCGCGGGGGCACCGCGCGCCCTGCCCTGGGGCAGCCCGACACCGGCCGCAGCGCCAGCCGGAGACCCGGCACATCCCGACCCCGGRGCAGGCCGCCTCCCGCATCCCTCCATGAGCACGCACCGAGGGTCACGCTCCCCCTAAGCGCGGTTGACAGGATCCCACAGGCCTTTGAGGGGTGCGGAAGCAAGCGATGGGCACGGTGAGCCCCATTGGGATGCCCGTGCGCTTAGCCAGAGGTGTTCCCACTGCAGAAGGAATGGGAGAACATGCACACACAAAACCCAAGGAGCTTTTAAAAAGCATCTTGTTTCTGTGCTAAGAGTTGTAAGTAAATATGTGGGCGCACAGGTCACGATTTCGTGTTGCCCCATGCGCGGTGAGAGCAACGGCAGGCCGAGCTGTGCCCCAAGYGCACCGATGGGCACAGCAGTGCACAGAGCAAGGAGCACAAGCGCCTGCACCAGGAAGCAAAACGGTGCCAAGGAAGGAATCACTAAGACACCAGTTCAAACTGGTGCCCTTTGTTGGCATCTGACACCTGTGGAACCATCTGGACTGCCAGTGTTGGGATATGTCCGGGTTGCTCCTAAGCACTGGCCCTGATCGGAGCAGGGAGGACAGCGCCTGTCCACCTGGGGAGAGCCCAGCAGAGCACATGGCCACAGCCAAGCTGCCCGCTACGCTACCAGCAGCATAAAACACAGCAGGACACACAGCATCCAGCTTCATTCTCAGGATAGACAGTGCATCCCACGCCACAGGCCCCTTTGGAGCACACCCRGAAAGGCTCTCGGAAACAGACTGCTTGTCTCTGTATCCTGGCTTCCCTTCTAGATAAAATACAGGAGCAGATCAAGTGTTTCGACCCAAGTGTCAGTTGGAACCTAAATATCCAACTAAATCAACCATTCATTGAATAGATTAAAACACAAAACATACAAAMGAGCAAGCAGCAATTTCATCACTTTTATCTAATGTTTCAAGAACACGGTCCTTCCTGCACACTTAGAGGAATGACACCAAGGGAGTAACAGGCTTTCCCAGTCTCTCATAAGGTGAAGAACAAAGACCATGGAGCCTCCGTTAGCCTTTCTCTGAGCTTTCCATAGAAGTCAGGGGAAGATCCTCTCCTGCTGGCAGTGCAGATCCAGCTTATCAAGTTCTTCTGCTGACGCTGTGAACCAAAATCTTCAATTTGGCTGCGAGCCAAAAAGTTTACGGGACTGGATCAGGTCTCTGGTTCTATTTTTTGTTGCATTTTTTAATCAAATATATACAAGACAATACATGACCACACAAACAGGAGCAAAGAGAGTGGAAATATCTCTGTGCTGCTTGGAGCCCAGATTTCCCACAATAAGTTGGGGCAATTTTTTATCTATTATGTTAGTAAATATTTTAAGTTTAGTTTCAAGAAACTGCATAGCAGTTAACCTGTATTTACAGGAGCTCTCATTGGCTTCTAACATTTATGATTTCTTCCCCAATCATTTTGTACTAATGCAGAAATGTCAATTTACTATAAAATACAGGTCCTTCCCATATGCAGTGCAGACTGTGACCAATACCTCAAGCCAGCAACAGCAGACTGAGTTTTCCAGCAGTTATGACTGTCACCCTGTTGACTTCAGTGAAGTTGCACAAGCCTCTTACTTTCAATTCCTCTTCTGCAGAAGGAAAATAAAAGTTTGACACATGGCTTTATAGCTGGGTTATAGAAAATAGCACACACCACTGGTATTCAGGAATACCATAACACATGATTTAATATCAGCATATCTTATTTTAAAATGAGTGGCAGTTGCCATGCCACAGGATATGCATACTTGCCTTCTGATTTAAAAACTATAACTTGGCACTCAAGTCATGTGCATACTGGGAAACATTTTTAAGGTCCAACCATGCATTTAAATGGATGGAAAGCATGACAAAGGTTAACATTGGAAATTTTTATTATGTAAAGAGCTCCTGCAAAAACCTGTTTTACAGAAGGCTGTATACACCTATGGTAGATAGTTGTCTAAATTACTCAGAAACAAAAGTTAGTCAGAAATCATCATGTTATCTCACTAACTGAAATACACTTGATGGTCCCATTCCAGTGAAAACCATTGACCGTTCCTCTTATATTCCTCTTACCTTTTGTTCCATAGAAAATGGTAAAGACAAGCCCAGACGTGATAAGATTTCACTCACAGCTTCACTGCTTGTGGATAATCTTGGGAACTCCTCAGAGCATGTCCTTGTATCCATTTGGTCTAGACTCAAATTTAGGGTAGATTCCAAAGGAATAAACAACACTTCAAGATGTTTAGGAATTCCTTGGAGATCACAGGTTGGCCAATGACTTCAAACAGTGCCTTCAAGGAATCTGCCTACAGCCTGTGACACYACTAGGGCCCTTTCCCAGCACCTGTATTTTCTATTGCCAAGAACAATAGGAACATATATATATTACAGTGTTTTTAGTAGTGCTACAAGCATAAGCTTTTAAGCTAAAGTAACCTGCTGCATTTGTGAAAGAAGGTGCATAACAAGTGTGTTATGTTAGCATTCCAAAGCTTAACTAGGAAATAAACCTTAGAACAGCTTTCCTAATTGGTAACATATCAAACACTTAAGATTAAATGCCTTGGACTATATGACCAGCATGAATTATCTTGTATAAATTGATGGTATTGTTAATATTTGTTTTACACATTATGATCAGAGGCTTCTTTTAAAATATTTAGATTATACTTGCCTGCCTCTCTTTAAAATGCTAAACATTCTTAACACTGTTTAAAGCCAGGCAAGTTGTGTTTGCTGTTTGATTGCACTTTGATACTACTGATAGGAATTTAAAATATCTAAATACTAATAGAAGTACAATACGCATTATATATATATTTAACTTTCCTCTGCAATTAGTATTGTGATAGACCTGGAAGCAGTTTTACAGATGAACTTGAATTGGCCTCGAAGCCAGGCTAGTGACAGGCACTCATGAGCAAACCTTTTGCTGGAGGCTGAGGCAAAGCAGCTGAGCCAGAACCCAGGCTCACAAGAMTAGAGTTAGGGAGGGAAATCCCTCCTACCTGAACAAGAAAGTAAGTGTTGCCTTAAGTTTCCTATGAATAGTAAAATTTCAGTTTTCTATCAGAGGAAATAGCAATTGTGCTCACTAGTCGAGAGTTCYATCTGCTTCCAAGTGCTGTGACACCTTGGCTTTTAAGGAGTTTTACTGTGGGATACCATATCAAGCTACACTATTTATCCTGTAGCCATTTTTAGTTTTGGTGTGTCCTTTCTGCATAAGTTGGTAAATAACTCTCTATGAGTGACAGTGATGAACTGAGATTTTTTTTTCCAATAAGTACTGCTTAGTAGTATTCAGTACCAGCATCAGCACATTCCCTGCATCCTTCCAGGCACATCATATGGGCCAGGAGGGATAGACCTCTGAGAACCTTCTGTTACTTGAACTTTGCTCCTAATCTACATTAACATCTATGTCACAAGCTTGCCAGAAGTTATGCCAAGTGACCTGTTTCCTGCTATAGAATGTCTCTTTCAGAAACAATCAACAAGTTCTCAAAAAGGACATTACACTTGAAAGATTTTTGAGATTACCATTGCATAGTAAGAAGTGAGCACACTTGTTTTGGTGCTTTGTGTCACCCAAAACACCGACCTCTACCAGCTCTTTCCAATACATCAGGATGACACTAGCTCTTCCCCCATGCTAGTAGTTATTTATTAAACTTTGGTAGGCTATCTGTTCAGACTTATTGGCAATGCTCATCTGACCAAGAAGATTACTGACAGGTTCATTCATTTTAAAAGGAGACTGGAATGGATTTCTCATTTGGCTGTCAGTCTGTGTTCTTCATTTGTCAGAGAAAAGGTCTAAGCTCCCTCTTCATTTGTCAAGTCTGTCTTTTCTGTCATATACAGTGGCTTAGAGATTACAACTCATCTCAAGTACTTATAGCAAAGATGCTGTGGACARTAAGAATAGGATTGCCTGACTTTGAAAGGCATGTACAGTAGAACATAACAAATGCTAGAGGACACTACTGGCAGCATTAAGGCAAGCAGAGTAACAGGATGCAGCCAGCTACTGTCCCATGCTAAGGAACAGATTTTTTTTTTTCCTCATTTCTGCCTTGCTTTCCATATTCTGGGGCTATGTGTCCATATACACATAAAAAAATAGAATTCCCTCTGATTTTTCTTTTCAAGTTCTCTTGAGTTTTTTTTTATTCCCCAGATTACTAATTGGTCAAAAGAAAAAATGATATGTATGAAAATAGTTCCATAACATTTAAGATGTAGCTAAAATTTGAAGGAAGGTGTTCTAGCACTAAATGGATCTCAGATGAGTCTGAGAGCAGCTGAATCCCATCTTAGTCCTAGACTTAATCAGCAGTATGTCTCTAAGGAATTTTGTGCACAGTCCTGGTTACAACTTAGAAGCTTGCAGTGTTTTAGCACACTCTTATTCACTTACCTTGGATTTGTTGCTGGTAAGGGCTGTCTTAGCCTGGAGGAGCATTCCTGAGAGGTGTCCCTGCTCAGAGGGAGATGCTGATCACAGCTGGCTGGCATGCAAGGAGAGTGCAACAGGCTCCAGGGTTATTSCCAATATTTATGGGACAAGGTGATTGACTTATAATCATCTATTCACAGACCAGCTGAGTTTTGGCTGGTGCTCACTGACTTAGCTGGTGGGTATTGCATTGCTGTTACCTGTCTCCCCAAGGCCAGCAGAAGGTCTCCCAGCAGTTGCAGCCATCCTCTTATTGAGGATGATTGTCCAAGTTGGGGGAAAAAAAGACCAGAAATACAGCTACCATAAACAACAGCAACCACCCATTCCTCTTAACAAAACACAGGAAATGACCAAAGGCCTAGGGCTGAGCTTAAATAGAGCTCCTGAGCCTATGRGCAGGGGGTGAGTAGAGGTCCCAGGTGAGGCTAGTCAGGACCACTACAGTGTTTAAGKGCCCTAGGGGCCCCTTTATAAAGAGGCTGAGAGGAGAAATTTTTTGTTTGTTTGTTTGTTTCTTTGCTTTGTGTGGGGCTAATGTTTGTAAAGATGTAAGTGTGTGTGTTATGGGGCTAGGAAAAAGAGAGCTGAATAAAAGAGAGTTATAAGATAAATATTTAGTAAGGTAATATCTTAAAGATAAGGAAAAAGAAGAAAAGGAAGGGGTGAATGCAGAATGGGGAAAAGTAGGATAGAAAAATAACTCAAGAATTGGGGGTATGGGATGAGGAAAGTAGGATTTTCTAGGGGCAAAGAAGAAATCTAGTAAGGACAGATGATCGTCATAATGAGAATGATTTAGCTGTAGGATAATGATGTTATAAAAATACAATGTGAGATTTAAGTTGTATATTTATTTCTTGTGTATTTCTTTCTCTTGTGTTAGAGAAAGTGAACTTGGCACTTAGGAAAGTGCCAACCATGGGGTTTTTGTTGAATTGCTCTACCTTAATTTTTTTTCTTTGTTTTTGAGTTTTTTTTTGCTCTTCTAAATAGCAGAGTCTTTATTTTTGTAAGCCGCTACTAGGTTTTTCTTTACAAAAAAAGTTATAGCTTTAAATGTTATTTTCCTTTCTGTCTCACTTCCCCCTCTGAGCTGCAGCTTTGTATGGCCTGATTAAGCTTGTGGCTGTTTCGTCCTTTGCTTGGGTGCATGTTTTGCTCACTGTTAGTTTTATAATAGAGGAGTTAGAGTTGTAGCGAATTGGTTCTGGAGCTTTCTTGTAATGAATCAAGTGTGTCTTTACATTAGGAGAGCTTGGATCAGATGTCTAAGTAACTCTAGTAATTTCTCAATCCATGTGTTCAACTTGAAATGCTGCTGTCTCCTTAATGATGCTATGTCTCATTTTATATGTCTTGAACTCTTCCATTATATAGTCTGTTTTTTCTTTTTGTGGCAATTCAGTTTTTTCCCCTCTTTCCTTTTGCTTCCTAATCATGGTTTTTGATGCTGTTTTCATTGTCCTTGACAACTTTGGACCAATGAGCAACTTTACAAAATGAGAATGAAACATAATATAGTTTTCATGCTTCTACATTCAAGCATATGTTTTAAGATGTATTTAAATTCTTATTACCTTGATATACATCATATTTTGTATCATTGTAGTACTTCAGTATTTGATGATCTAAATCTAATTGATAAACAGACTATTTGAAACAGTAGAAAGATGATCAATTCTCTTAAAACAGAAGAAATTATTCCTAGCTTTAATCAGTGATTATTTCTGTGCTATTTTCCCTGTTCTGTTTTCCAAAATACTTGAACCACATAATCAACCAAAATCTTATTCACTGAGACAAGCTAAGTGGCAATGTGAAGCACAGAACAAAAATACCTGAATGCAGTATGCAGAGTGTTGGGAGGCTGTGTTCTTGTATGATGTTGCAATGGATGCTGTATCTTACCTCTGCCTATATTTGAAGGGAGATAGCAATATGGGGTTTAGCTAAGGTCAAATCCTGCTGTCAGTTTTACCCTTACATGATCTTACAGATCCAATGCCTTAAAAAAGTCCAGCTGACCTTCATGCTGTCTTAGAAACCTGAACCATAACCAAGTTTATTCTTACTCTTAAATTCAAATTCATCCACAATTTGGCAGACTGGATAATCTGAACTACAACAGC